TAAAGTATTTATGCTCAAGTATTATTAACACATACACGGCGAAGTCATGCAGAGAATTCTTTTCCCAAGCGGACGAACGATACCGTATCCTTTCGGGCCACTCAGATCCTAAGTCAGTCCAGCGCTGTACACAAGTCAAACCAAGTCAATTACCTAGGCCTTTTGAACAAGCTTGAGTGTGCCCAAAAAAAATCTTCAACTTGCTTACTGGGCTACCTGGTACTAACTTTTGGTCCACTGGTAGGGCGAAGGGTATAGGGCTCTCGGGTTGAAACAAGCAGGCAACAGTGCAGTGACCATGTAAATTAGAAGAAAAGGATGGTCACCTGCTATGTCGTGGTTTTTTTGTTCCTGGTTATTGCGGGAAAGAATGTGTAATGCTTGTACGTGGTGAAGAGCTGAAGCCATATGCCAGGTACGAAGACATCGCCCGCCCCATCCTTTGGTGCGTACCCACGTCTACCACCCGGCCGAACAACAGTGAAAGAAACGTTCAGACCATCTAACAACTGTGGAGGATGACTGGTGGCCCTCCCACTGTGAAGTCTTTTAATCTCGTCTCGTAAATGCGGGCTTGTCTCGCGGACCGTGTGCTAGGTAGGGGTCCTTTGTACAAGTGAAGGCATGTAACCTCCGGTATGCGGCTCCGGAATGCGGCTGAAGCGTAAGACGTCCAGTAGACACTCGGACAAAGGTGCCTTTCGCAAAGCTCTTGTGGCATTTTGGACGTTCCAAGCCAAATAGGATACATCAAGGAAACGATAGCACTTCTCAACGTATTGCCTTTAACCCGCATTTGTTGCCTACCAGTGAGTGTCCAACGGCGTGCTGATGTAGCAAGTCAGAAATTGACGACCCGTTGAAGCCCATTCACCTACGGTCTGGAACACAGGGCATGCAGGCAATTGATATTGCCAAGAAGCCTTTTGAGTTAGCAGAAAGCTTAAACCGACAGCATTCCCGTTCCAGGGACATCGTGTAGGCCGCGAAAATTGAAGTCAAATCCCATACTGTGTAAGTCTTGATCGTTATGTTCATCGCCCTCGTCCCCAACCGTTCCATTCTCCCGGCCGAGATACTCATCTGGGAAAGTGACACTCCTCGTAGTTCCTTGTTTCTTGCCTTCTTTCTTTGAAGTTAATACCACCAATCTCCTCCATTCGTTACTCTGTTAATTACGCGGTACTCTGTTCCAGAGTCCTGGCTGTGTGAACCACTTTGAACAACTCTATTGCCATCTTTGACACTGGTGATATCTCGAACATGGCTCTCCGTGACCTGCAACATGAGTATCTTCCGCCCATCTCCAAGTACTCGATACTTTCTCCTGCCATGGCAGCTGCTGGAGCCACCTTCCCTTCACCATCGACGTCCATGCATGTGCCCCGCTGACCACGTTGATCGACCCTTCCCTTTATCACTTATCTCTCTTAGTATGCAGTGCCGAGACCACAGAGATGATTCACTGGCACGGGTCCAATAGCTAGCTTGCTCTGACTGGAAAGGATTTGTGTGCTGCCAGGTGAATGGGCGTAGAGTAGGGCTTGAGATCAACTCGCCCACACTTTCTGCTTGGCCGTGGTGTAATTTTCTTCCTGTTCCCTCCACCGGCTCGCACTTTTCCTGACTCCCTAAGTCTTTCGAATTCCCGGCAAAATCCATCCTCAACATCACAGGATCAACATCTTGCTGCGAGGAAAGACCGATCACAGCCCTGGAAACGACCAAACGGTCCAAGGCAGATTACCTCGTCGATCTTCTCGCTACCGCTCGTTACCCAATCTCACTTGCAAGGCAAGAAGGACAGGGACAAGTCGCCGCCTTTGCACCTCTTCACGTAGGTACTTCCAGGGAAACTTCCCTGAGAGCGATATCCTCCTTGAGGCCCAGATCAACTGATCTCTTCCTTTCGCAGCTACCACTCTGCGTCGTCAACTGATAGCTCATGTTGGCGATGTCATCCTCAGCTCAAGCTCCGCTTGCGCCCCTCGCGCCCGTTGCGAAACCGCAGCCCCGTTTCGTTGTTGGCCTGTCAAGCGACGTATGGCTCGCGGTCTGTGACTATTTGACCACTCGCGACCTGAACTCCCTAGCTCGTACATGCAAGCCGCTGTACGATGATCTCAACTATGAGGTGTACACCCGGGATGCTCGATCCGATAGGCCGCAAGCCTTGCTTTGGGGCGCTTTCACCAACCAGCCTCGCACCATCCAGTTCGCAATCAGCCAGCACGGGGCTGACATCAACAAAGTCCTCTATTGCCCTCCCAAGTCACGCTCCTTCCGGGATGAGATTCATAGACTGGCTGTCGCAAACGGTGTGAACGTGTCAAAGACACACATCACCCGTTTCTCCTTCCGTGGCTCCGATGACCTTGGCCACAGAGAATGGGACTACAGACTCCGGGGTTTCGAAAGGAAAACTTCGTACTGGACAGCTTTGCACTTCGCTGCCCTCTTCAACCATGTTGAGGCGGTTGAGTTCCTTCTTCGCAACGGAGCTAACATCAACGCCGTCTGCCCCAGAGACGGCTACTTTGTTCTCAAGGGCGACAACGAGCCGAACCTTTGCACCCCTCTCTTCACCGCCATCAAAACCAAAAGCGAGGAGGTTGCCATGTTCCTGTTGCGCAACGGTGCCTCGCCCCTGTGGTTCGCTCCCGGAACAGGTCAATACAAGAAGGAGACAGCCTTGTATCTGGCAGCCCACCTCGGTATGTGGAAGCTCTTGGAGCCCATCGTTCGCGTCGGAGTGGATGTCAACGCGGGTTGTCACGTCGACGACGTACAGGCATGGGCCACGGACACTGCCTCGCAGTCCATCTTCCTAAAGCTAGCCTCCGGTCCGCGCAAGCCCACAGAGCAGGTCATCGCCGAGCTCACCCGTCTGGGCGGAAGAGCCAATGTTCGAGACCTTCCCGGACGGAACCACATGACTCATCCCCTTATCCGCCTCATCGTCGGTCTCAAAGAAGGCAAAGTCTGGAAGCCCAACTGGCCCCTCGCAAGCATCATGCTCAGGACTGGAGCCTGCGACGGCACGCTTGAGGAGGTTGAGACCGTAGCCGCCATCCAGCTGGCCTTGTTTCCGAAGAACTGCCCCTATACTCCCAATCACACCAGGCACGCCATGCACCTCACCTACTATAACAAGAAGCCTTGCATGTACTCCGTCAAGGGAGCCCTGGTCGGAAGCAAGTGCAAATGCAGAGTGGACTCCAAGCATTACCCTGCCGATGACAAGGTGAATGGACACCTCTGGCAGGCCGAGCTGCTGAAAGAGCTTGTGAACTTCCACGTTCGTCACTTCGGTTGGAAGTATCTTGAGGGTCCACTGCCCTTCCTCTGCGAGACTGTGCTGACCTTGCTGGCACGCCACCAACGCATCAACACCCGCGCCCTCGACACTTGGCTTTCTCTCATGCCTCCCGGCCACAAGACCCGCGTCACCAACGTTCGAAAGCAGACAGTCCTTCACATTGTCCTCAACATGGAGACCTTTGAAGAGAAGCTGTGGTACGTCGGCGGCCTTCCTAAAGGATACGAGATCAACCCCTACTTCGACGATGACCACGACATCCTCACATATCTCTTGAAGCGGTGCACATCCGAGGAGCTGCTAGCTGAGGACTATCAGGGCATGACACCGCTGACGCTGCTTCTGGGCGCGCTCTACTGGGACCAAGACCCCGAGCACGAGCACTACTACGCCGATGAGCGCGTCTGGGCCACCATGTGTTTGAAGTTCGTCGAGCTGATGGTGTCGGCTATCCCTGCCATGTCGAAGGAGGTCTTTCAGAAGGTTTTCGAGGAGCTTAGCTGGCGTCGCAAGGAGCTGGGCTGCGGCCCCAGCGTCATCACTGTCGGCATGGAAGGGACTGGGGAGACGAAAGTTCCCTTCTCGGATTATAAACCGAAGGATGGAAAGGTCCGTCCGCTTCCCATGAACCCTCCCATCCCGCCCGCTTTGGTTGTGGTTGAGCTTGATGGTGACCACACGCCGGCCGAGGAGCCCGAGCAGCCCGAGGAGGGTCCGCAGCAACCAGAGGCTTCACAGACTGCGGAGTTGCCAACCATTCCCGCAGAGCCCGCCCCGGCGGCCCCGCTGGACGGTACCGCAATGCTGAATCAGCAACAGCTTGCCATGGCAACCCAAGTGACAGAGGAGAACAATGTCATGGCCCATGCTAATGGCGGACAGCCGGATGCACTGCTGGGATGGCCACAAGTTTGGGAGGATGGTACTTCTGTTTGGGGTGGCTTGATGAACAACTTCCAAGAGGAAGCTAACAATGCCCAGGCGCAGGGCGTTATTCATTGAGGAAGAAATGGAGGAGTGTTTAGGGTTCTGGTTGAGATCGCCGCGGAGAACGAATTGAAAGGAGCATGGGACTGCTTTGATGGAGGACTGAGCGTCCCGTCGTTGAAGGAAGCTTATCGGCGTTGACAGGTCGCTTTATCGAGGCCAGGACTTTTGAGAACCTGGTTCAACCGCGGATCTCCTAGGTTTCTCGGTCAGTCTACAATGTTCTTGACAGGAGCAGAGATTCCATGACGAGGGAAAGAGAAGGAATAATACAAGTGAAAACAATATTAGGGGAACTAAGCTAGGAAAAAAGGTGAAAAAATACAACAACAAAAAAGAGGAAGGAGGACTAGCAAAAGCGGACTCAGGGGATGGAGACATGACAGGCAAAAGATTCTGTCGCAAGTCGTAGATGATGATCTGTCAAGATTGCCATTTGGGGGCATCTGGGTCCATGTAATGAGTATTAGCTTCGATTAGAAAAGAAAAAAAGACAAAAAAAATAAAAATCAGCCCGTGAAAAATCATCAAGTACCGTGCGTGTAGGATGAGGTTAAATCGAATGTCGTAAAAGTGGATGGAAGTGAGGGGAGAAGAAAACAAGTTGTGAGCGACGAGCGGATACATGAATGGATTGATCGATCAATGCCAATCTAGAAGGGGGTAAAAAAAAGAGGAAAAAAAGAGGCGGGTGGGACCCGTGACGGACTCGAACCGTCGTCTTCCTGCGGCACGTATGCAGACGAAGATATACTCAGCCGGGAATGTTACCATTACACCAACGGGCCACACCACGGAAGAAGCACCTTCCAACCTAGTTTAAGTACCCCAGACGTGGTTCAAAGTTGGGATGAAGGATGGGGGAAGGAGCGGCGACGGGAGCGGTAGACAAGACAGGCGCGGCAGGCAAACGTGGAAGGTGCGGGTAGGTTTGGCAGCGACAGAGGAAGGTGCGATGAAGTTTCAGTCTTACCATTTCCACGAACTTAACGTGCTCATGAGATCCGGACCGCCATCATACTCGTGGAATGCTGGTTTGAGAGGCTTGTTTGTTCCTGTGAGGTCCAAGGTAACATAGCACCGCAGATGTTCAAACTTCCGGTGTACCTAGCGTAGTTGATATACTAGCCCATGGTGTTACAACCAATCCAGTGTTGAGTGGAGGGAAACATGCAAAGACTTGAGAGATCGGCAACTGCGTTGCAGCCTCCAAGCCATTTGGTGCTAGATCGGTCTTCAGCTCAAGCCACAGTAGGATATAGTTCGGGTCATGAGGAGCTGAAGGTGAGGGAATAAGCCGGACAGGCCAAGCCGGACTAGCTCGTGGAGGGCCAAGGGACGTGTAAGTAGCTGAGGGGATCGACTTCAGCTGAAGCTATTCACCTGATGATCGATAGTCTGATGCATTTGAAACAGTCTGGAGGGCTTACTCGTGTGAATATTCCAATACCCTAACATATAGTCATTCCAAATGACGTATAAGTGACCTCCAGTAGGCTGGTTGGGAGGCGGCCGCCTTATGTAGTAGTACCATGAATGCGTGATCGTCTGGCTCCCGCAATGTTACACCGCTGATGCCGATTGCTTGACGAACGAACGCCAGCCACAGATGCAGGTCTGAGGCACTCAGCGATATCTTCGTAGTATGTGAGATTGTTGTAAGACGCCGGGAATGGTAGCTGAGGGGTCTGACGCCAACCGCAAGCCATGTCTTCTTGTGTGGGGGGTTCGCCCGACCGAAGACCATATAGGACGTCGCTCGTCCGCGCACCTGGAACTCGGATATCGCCAGCTTTTGCAGACAACCTCCCTTCTCAGACAATTCATCTTTCAACGACTCCATGGCAGCCATCCGTCAGGTTCACCCGCCTCTCCGGCTTCTCGTCAGGCCCATCTCTTCAACAACCCCCCAAACCGGGCGACGTCTCCTCTCCACAACTCAACCCTCCAAACCTCCTAAACCACCCATCAAGTCCGCCATCATCACCGGCGCCGCCCGTGGCATAGGCCGCGCAATCGCCCACCGTCTCGCCGCCGACGGCTACTCCCTAACCCTCAACGACCTCCCTCCCTCTTCCTCCTCCTCCTCCTCCTCCACCACCACCTCCTCCTCCTCCTCCTCTTCCTCCGAAGAAGACCCCCTAACAACCCTCTGCCAAACCCTCCATTCCCTAGGCTACCCCAACATCCACCCCTTCCACGGCGACATCACCACCCCCTCCACCGTCTCCTCCCTCCTCTCCTCCCACCTCTCATCCTACGGCTCCTTATCAACTATGATCGCCAACGCCGGCATCGTCGCCGCCCAACCCTTACTCTCCGTCAACCCCGACGACTTCCGGCACATGCTCAACGTCAACGTCGTCGGAGTATTTAACTGCTACCGCGCTGCAGCGGAACAATTCATTAAGCAAGGCACCTCGGGCAAACTGATCGGTGCCTCATCCGTGGCTGGACTAAGGGGCCAGTTAATGTTGGGACCGTACTCAAGTAGTAAGTTTGCCGTGAGGGGATTGACGCAGGCGTTTGCTGCTGAGCTGGCTGGACACGGGATAACGGCGAATGCGTATGCCCCCGGGGTGGTGGAGACGGGGATGTGGGATACTATTGGGGAAGGGGTGGAAAGGGCCGAGGGGTTGGAGGTGACGGAGGGAGCGAAGGGGAGGGTTATCAAGAGGTTTACGGAGGGGATGGTGCCGTTGAGGAAATCGTGTAGTCCGGAGGATGTTGCCGGGTTGGTGGGATTTTTGGCGAGTGATGGGGCGGATTATATCACGGGTCAGACTCATGCGGTTGATGGGGGGATTTACTTTACGTGAGATGGGATCCCAGGAGGAGGGAGTTGGCGAGAAGAAGGGGACGGAAAGAAGAAAGGAACGAATAGCATTATGTGGGAGAACGCTTGGGGGTCAGGATGGGGTAATCCTTATCGGGCACTGACGTTTTCATCTTATCAATTACATCGGTCGTTCATCCCCACTTTCGGTTCCTGTTTTTGTGGGTCCTTCGGCCGCTGTTCGGCCGCCCCCGGCCCGTGCCGGGCCTGACCCGGACATTCCAGATCTTCAAGGACCTCGAGCGCCTGCACCGTAACTTCCCTTGTGGTCATTTTGAAGCAATGTTCGAAATCTCAAAGACCCTTGGTGATGAGAAGTAATCCTTCTGACTCTATGTAGGCTGAAGATATACCGTATGCTATGCTAATGGTGTCAAGAAATCATGAAAACGACAACCATATCTAGAAGTCCATCTTGGGCTTGCCGTCCAATACTTTACCACCCTATCCAATCGTCCCTTGTCCCACCCGTTTGATGTATGTCATTTCACCTCCCTTTTTTGTACATGACCCTTCAAGCCGTCGTTGTTGTGCTTTCATCGCTATCAACATGAAAACAGCACTCAGCAGGCGAGTAAATGAGTTCCTTATGGACACTACTGAAGGCATTATCAAGATTTTCAATGTTTATTTCATGTTTGCAACGGCCTTTCCTATTCAAGACATGACGTATCAGACTCTCCATTAAGCCTCCGGTGTTCTGTTCCAGCCATATGTGCGTGCAAGTGCAGCATAGATGCGTTATGCATGGGAGCGAGGAGTTGCAGACTACAGATATCTGGCCCTGGGGAGAAAATTACCGGTATTTAAGGAACTGTTCCTTAAGTACGCTTTTCCTCCTTGTTACTTTTTTCCCTTCTCAAGCCATCCGAAAGTCCGATTGCTTCTCTCTCTCTCTGACACCCAAACCAAGCTGCCCATCTTTTACCATGACTTCCTCAAAGAGCATTAAGACTTCCATTCTCATTCTTTCCGACACGCACGGTAAAGACCTCATCATGCCGAAGTGTTCCGTCGATGTTGCGATTCACTGTGGCGACCTTACGGAGGATTCAAAAATGGAAGAATATCGAACCACACTCGAGCTTCTCAAGTCGATCGATGCACCCTTGAAGCTCGTTATTGCTGGGAACCACGATTTCTCTCTCGACGACTCTGCGCTCGAGCGGCTAACCGCAGAGGCCACAGAGAGCGGTATCGAGACCGAGTTGATGAAGAAGGAGTTTGGTGATGTTGGGGAGGCCCGTCGGCTGTTTTCAGAAGCCTCGAACGTCACTCTTCTGGACGAGGGCATCCACACCTTCCGCCTCCAAAACGGCGCCTCCCTAACCGTCTATGCAAGCCCATTTACACCTTCTCTTCAAGCCAGCGGGGCCTACCAGTTTAGGCCTGACGATAACCACGACTTCTCGATTTCGCTCCCCGGCAGCAACAGGGTCGATGTCGCCATCACCCACTGTCCGCCAAAGGGCCTCTTCGACCGGACGTCCTCCGCGTCACCCCCAAGTGTCGGCTGCCCCCAGTTATTCGCCGCCATCGCCAAAGCCCGCCCCCGCCTGCATTGCTTTGGCCACATCCACGAAAACTGGGGGGCCAAACTGGTAACTTGGCGAGGAAAAGAACCAACGAACACGATTCCGTCACACCTGACGGAGATCGACAACGGGGCCTCGAAGCCTATCGACTGCCTCGCAAACTACAAGCCTCGAAAATTTGAGTCGGAGCAGGACGTCAAGGAAAGAAAGAAGCGGGTCGAAAGATTGTATAAGGAAGGGTGTAGGAGAATAAGCGACTGTCCGATAGCAGAAAAACAAACGCTTTTTGTGAATGCTGCTTTGGACGTGGGCCCCGACGAGGATGCGGAGGCGAGGGAACATGTCCCGTGGATTGTTGAGTTAGAGTTGCCGAGTGCCTGAAGGCAGGGCAGGATTGGATGAATGGGCGGCGGTGACGGCATGGACCGGTAGCAACTTCGGAAACAACATGGGGCACTGGGCTTTTTGTTCATCCCCTTGGTTTCAGAGCATGATTACGGCCGGGTCGTGTTATGATCACCGATCTTTGAAGATGGTCGAGGATTTTGGAGGGCGATAGGATGATAATCATGATACCCAGGTTAGGCCGAATGAAGATATCGCTGCACCTACCGAATGGTCAGGTTGTTGAAAGTTGCTACCTTGTTCCAAATGTCTCCCGTGTCTGTGTGCGGTGGTTCCTAATCTTGAGCGTTGTCGTCAACTAGCAAAGTACGTCTGTAGCACGAAGCTTGCAGACTCACCACGCAGAGGATACAATCCATCTGCAGCAGCTCGACGAACCGGTGGTAGAACACCCTCATAGTTGAATATAACCTAATGTAGAGTACACTATCCCGACTGAGTACCTGATTCGGCCGGCAATGATGGGTAAGTTCATCGAAATGAATTGCGACCCCTCTGCCGTGATCCCCGCTTCGTGATGGCAGGTGCTATCCCGCGTCAGCCAACGTTGCTTCTTCCATTTAACTTCAATAGCCTGGCCCACAGATGGAGTCGTTCTTTCCACTTTGCTAAATCTAGCTAGGGCATTATGGAAATTTGGTCACACAATGGGCAGATTTCGAACCGTTCCAGTGGTGTTTGTCTTGACGGCGACGTGCCTGATAACCAGCATCACCAACGCCCTGAATCTTCTCGATCTATCCACACAGAAATGGACTCTCGCGAGCCCGGCGCTAAACATATCGGTGCGGGGAAGGGTGCCTTCGCAAGTCCATCTCGACTTGTTTGAAGCGGGAGTGATTGGCGATCCGTACGTACCTTTCATCCCGTTAGCAAAAATGCTGCTTTGGTCGTTTACGAGTTGAAGGCGAGGCTTGTAACAGATCCTAACTTCTCGCTTCTCTAGATACTATGGCCTAAACGACTTCAACCTGCGCTGGATTGCCTGGAACGACTGGACATACACCACAAA